ATTTTTTTGCTGATCACACTGTTGCTTGTAATTTCTGGTATTAAGTGTGACGTTTCAGATGAGAGAAAAAGAGGAAGAACAGAACCTACTTCATACATATATTCCAACTTTCCCCTCCTTGTCAGACAGTGTGCACAGCTCTTCTCAATAACGTCTAATTGTTTTAAGCTATCAGCATCTGCCACTGCAAAATGAGGGTCTTGCAATTTTTAGCATTCATGTGTGCTGTGGTGTTCTTGACTGATGCCCTTGGTGAGTTGCATAAAAATTTTGATTGGATTAACCTCCTAAAAAGTTGCTTATTTTATTGTATTATGTGGTCTTTAATATTATATCTATTAAGTCTTACTATTTAAAACAGTTAAAATAATCTATTGTCTTCCTCTGTCCAGATCCTCCATATGTGAAGTCTGAAGATAAAACAGGTCAGTGGATACACAATATTATCTATCATACAATCTTAAGCCACATTATTTCCAATCCTTGGCTTTTATTCAACACGAAATACGGTTGGATTTACAAATGATGTGAAGAAAAAATGAAGAATAAAAACAAAATACTTATATATATAAATGTACATGTGTTAATATAAAGAAGGTACATTAAGTAAAAAAAAAATCCCACACAATTTATTAATTTCAGTTCTTTTTATATTCTGATTTGGATATTTGGTGCCTTCACTGGCGTTTTTCAAGTTAACATACTTAAGAGCCAAGCCCAATTAAATGTGATTTTGAAGATCGCTATGATGACAGATTTCAGAAATCCCTTAAAAAAGGATTTAGGTTGTTCATTTAAACTAAAAGTTATAATGATAAGACATAAAGTGTTTTCAACCTTCACACCCAGAGACTCTTACTAAAGTTTTCATATTAACTGCTCTTTCTCAGCAAAGAGCGATCTGGTGAAAAGGTCAGCCCGGTGTTCTCGTGGTTGGACCCCGTTCAACAATCGCTGCTTCCGCTACATCCCAAAACCCATGAGTTGGGCTAGAGCTGAGGTAAAAGAATCCCTCAGCATTATTCAATTAAATTTCTATCTTCTTAATTTTGAGGTGTGATATAACAGACATATATCACTTCTTTATTTGAACACCATGTGTAGAAAAACTGTCAGTCCATGAGGGGAAACCTGGCATCGGTTCACGACATAGAGGAGTACCATGAGATTCAGAGGCTGATCATGACTGCCAGTCACGAGTATAAAGAGACCTGGATTGGAGGCAGTGATGCACAGGAGGTACTTGATTTAACACATTTTTGTTTGCTATGAAACACTTTGGCTCCTATTAAATTCAATTTGTGTTTCCAGGAAAATCAGTGGTTCTGGAGCGATGGCACTCCTTTCCACTTTACCAACTGGTGTCCTGGAGAGCCTAATAACTTCCATGGAAGGCAGCACTGCCTGCGCATTAACCATGGAAGTAAGGCTATGTTTAATTTATATAAAATGGCTTATTAAGAGTAGGATGTGGTTACACTTTCACAATGTATTGTGTTATTAGCCAGTTATGCGGTTGTGTCACCTACTATGTGATTTTGGACTAATTTTACTTATTCTCTTCTTTTCATTTTGTTTTTGCAGATCAAAAGTGCTGGGACGACTATCAGTGCAACGTTTCTAAACCGTCTGTCTGTGCCAAGAAAGGCTAATCAATTCTGAACTGAATGCTGAAAGCATTTGTCTTCACTGTAGTCTTTAAAACTATTTCTGGTGCCCTATCGCTGTTAGGAAATTTTATGAAAACCAATGGCTTGCAATATTTACAAAACCACAATTATTTCTTCGGGCTTTTGCATTTTACTGTATAACTGTTTACTGAATTTGTTGTTGAAAGCTAGTTTTGGCAAACCTTTATTCTGTAGAAAATAAAAGACTTGAGCAATATGAACAGAGTGGTCTGTTTTGTTTCGTCACAAGAAAAATGTTCATCTCAAATTGTTTAACTATGAATATGAGTTTGTATATAACATGTTTTTATGCCATTTTTAATAATGGTTTAGAGGCAATTTAAAAAAAAAAAATACTGCAAGATGCTAAAGTAACAAAAAACATGCTTGCTGTGGTGGGAAAAATCTATCTCCTATTAATTCCCTTTTATGTAGGTATACATATAGATTTATGAGTGCTGATACCATAACATATCTAAGAGAATGGGAGCTGTTTATATTATAAGGGAGTGTTTGACCATAATATGAGGTAATTCTCAAAACATTTAGACTCTTTCTGTAATGATCTTGGTCCTGTTGGTTTTCTCTAAGTTTTCAGTTTCACGTTTATCCATGTTTTTCTTTGTTTTCTAGCTTTATTGGTGTGTTCTACATTTATTTAAGTTTCTTAGGTTTTTCTTTGCTTGTCCTCTGTTGCCCCCTTGTGTTTCCTTGTCCCTTGGCTTCGTCGTCAGCTCTACTCACACCTGCTCCTTATCAGCTCATTAGTCCTGCCTTTGTTCAATTAGCCATAAATACACTCCCTGTGCAGTCCCTCATTGCTGGCTCCTCATCTTATTTTGTCTCACCCTGGCTTCTTGTGATTGTTTTCCCTTGATGTCTCCATGGTTCTGGCTTGTGTTTAATTTCTATGTTGGATTTTTGAATTCCTGTTTTTGCTACCTGTGTTATTTCATTAAACCTTCAAAGAACTCACCCTTGCCTCTCAGCCTCTGCATTTGGGTCCTCACAAAAACCTCCAACCAAAGCGTGACATTTTCTTTTTCTATTCTTTTTTTCCTTTTTGGTAGAGGTTTTTTGACTCTGACATAACCTTCAGCATTTCCATGACTGTAAGTAAGGAAGACAAACTCTGGCAAGATCACAAAAGGGCTAATTACCATGTAATAAGGGCGGTATGATGTCTTGTTCTCTCTTTGCAGAGATGAAATAAAATAACGACTGTGTGATATCCATCTCTTTTAATTCCACTGGATTAAACTATTACTGATGCATGACAGCTAAGCCTGAGACATTTGTCATGATTAAACTTGCTTTAGACTGAAAATATTTCAGTTATTCTTGTTGAATTAATGGGTTTCGTTAATATAGCAAAGTGAATGGATTTATTATGTATGGCAGAAAGACATCACAGCATTACTGTAACATAATAAGATGCACAGTGAAACATATTTTCATTCACTGAATAACTTTAGCTTTCAAGGTTATCAAAATGATTCTCTTTATTTAGGCATTCAACTTGTATGTTAGATCCAGTTAGATCCAGTTCTAACAAAGTTATTTAAGTATTTCCTCTGATTTTCTTCTCCATTTTAGATATAATTAATCTTTCACTAATACAGGGGTAGGCTGTAATCAAGGCTTAAGTACGCAATCTTCCCTTGATCCAAACTACTTAGTCAATCATAGACCTATATCTTATCTGGCTTTCTAATTCAAGAGAAAATAGTTGCTAATTATGTGACCACCTACACTGTAATGGCCTTTTTGAATAGTTTCA